TCTTCAACAGAGACTGTTCACAGATCTTTGCAGACTTACATTAGCATGGGACATTTCTTATTTGTCTGATTTACTATTCCACAACCAAACCCAAATAACAGAAGTTCCCTTGTATTTGCAAGCCAATGAACTACAGTACAGGAATTAACAATGAGAATGAGGAGTGCAGACAAGAACCAAAACCAACAATGTTGTTCACTTACAAAAACATAAAACAAACACCCATATCGGTGAAAACAGATGTACTGGTAAGTTTCCTCCCTCCCACCTGCCAATGTAGAAGTCATCCAGTAACAAAGTCAACTTAGAAATCAGCAGCACATGAATACAGAAACTCGAGGGCTATACCTCCGAATAAAAACTGCTGTTATTTTTCCTTTTATTCTAACAGTGCCAAGCCTGTCCCTAAAAAGCCTGCAAGAGGAGAACAATATTGTCCGCAGCAAGAGGAGGACAATATTTTAATGGAAAGGTGCATTTGTAAAGCCACAAGATGGCCAGGCAACCTGGGACCAGATTTACCAAACATGCTCAACTTGTTTATTAAAACAAACTAAGTTTTAGGTCTGATCCCAGCCCCAGTGACCACTCTCTAAAGCCTGGCAAAGCAGAGTTCCCTTGCCAGTCCTTGCCATGGCTGCCCTTGGCACATAACAAATTAAAGACATCCCGCTGCCTGACACTAGCCAGAAGTTGTTGGATGCTCAGAAACTTGTATCCCATCCATTAGACACATGTAGGCTTGGGACCATCCAAACTCCCCCAAACTTGTTAGACACTAAGCAGCTTCCATGCCCCCAGCACATAACACAACAAAACCACATCCCACTGCCTGATCCTTGCCAGGAAAGGGTGCTAGATGCTTAGACACTTACACCCTATTCAACCCACATAGCCTTGAGACCATCCAACCACCCTTAAAACTTGCGTTTGACACCTAGGACGCCTCTACATGTGTTGCAGGGCAGAGCGCTTTAACTAGAGGAGCTTTGAGAGCTGCTCTAATTAAAGCACCTGCAGCATTGAGTGTATTCAGCACCCTGCGCTTCAAAATGGCGGTGGGGCATTTGAACCTTTAAAGCGCCCCAGCTGTCATTTTGAAGCGCAGGGACACTGATACACGGGAGGTGTAATTAGCGCCCTCCACTGAATCAGAGTCCATCATATGCAGCAGTGCCCCTAGCAGCTCCCAGGGGCCAGTATCTCCAGAGCTCAGAGGGCTGCCAAGGGGCTCCCAGCTATGCCAGGGAGGATAAGGAGGCACCAACCCACCTGCCTCCACCACTCCTGCAGGATTTGGGCCTGGGGTGTTGCTACAGGGAGCAAGCAGCGCGGAGGGGAAGCGCCAGCCCGTGGGCGCCACTCACCCTGTTCCAGGGCCTGGTTGTACTTGTCCAGCGCGGCCGCCAGCTCCT